CCACCTTTCCCGACGCTCCTGGAGATGATTGGTTAATCAAAGCAGGAGGATTTGACTCAGCTCAGCCCTGTTAGTTAAATGAGTCTACGAGCTGTGAAACTGAGCCTCATGAACTGTGACTTTGTTCACTTTTTGCACCTTTCAAAGAAATAACGCACTGGTTGTAAAAAGATGAAAAGTGTGACCGGCTGTTTCTGGTCTTCAAATACTCACGCGTCCTGTGTAGGGGTACGAAGCATCAGAGTCGATGCCCTGGTTGTCGATGACGTATTGGAAGGCTTTGTGAATGTAGCCTCCGTTGCAGCCGTGGTTGCCGTATTTGCCGGAGCAGTCCACCAGATTTTGAGGACTGAGGTCCACCAGCTTCCCCGTCTTCTTGGCCAACTGACCCTCCAGAGCTCCTGCAGCGCTGAAGGCCCAGCAAGAGCCACAAGCGCCCTAGATGACACAAAAACATGCACCATAGCCTCAATGTTCCTCATAATGTCCACTTTATTTGTCAAAGCTTTATTGGTATCGTATGAAATAAACACTGTGTGGAGTATTCCGGTCCAGCAGAGTTCCCGCAGCTGCAATATTACATCAAATGGGAGCAGTCGACTTGTCTTGTGTATCATTTTCTACACATTTCCATGTTTGGCAGCACAACACGAGGCTGTAAAGACGGAGCCAACAGAGGGTCCAGCGCAGTTTAAGAGGTTAAGGAACTCCACCGACTGTTTGAGGAAACGTTCTGTTTGTCAATTACATTTAACATGTTGCGCTGAACAGAAGGAATGCCAGAATCAATACTCGCACGTCTCTGGTTGAATGATGCTCATCTGCACAACATAAGTTTGTAATAAGTTGGATTTCTCGGAGGTGGGAAGTAACGAAGTACAAATACTTGAGTAGATTTTGCAGGTATCTGTACTTGAGTATTAATTTTACATTTGAACACACATATCTGTACTTTCTACTCCTTGCAGTCTCTAAACTGACTCGTTACTTGTTTCTGTGGATGACGACATTACGTAAAAGATGTAAAAGACGGAACAACAAACGTCTTCATCTTTACCAGCAGTGTGCAGTTTGTTACTGAAGCTCAGCACAGCCCTGCATGCGAGAAGCTTTTTAGGACTGATGTTCAGACCCAACAGGGCTGAAACATCTTCATTCAGAGAACTTTGAGAACCACCGTCTGCTGAGGCTCAATAACAGATGTTGGTAGTCTTGAAGAGACGAGTGTTTCCGTGTTGATTATAATGTTTAATGTTTATAACGAAATGGAAAACTGTCCAGTGATGTGTTTCTCTGTAGCAGCTCTGTGCAGCTTCTTAAAGGATGAAAACAATCCTATTGTGTGTGCTTCAAGCTTTTTCATTTTGCAGAGTTATCGAAAGAGGCATCGCGTATCATCAAAGCTAAAAATTCATTTTTGTGCTTAAATAAATTTCTGAACCTTTTTACTTTTACTTGAGTAAAGGAGCTGAATCAGTACTTCTACTTTTACACTAGTATCTCTACGTCTACTTAGAATGTGAGTACTTTTGCCATCTCTGGAAGTTCTCTCCTTTTTTTTTTAACCCCAAAATACAACAAGCAACCTACAGATGGTGATTTTTCACTCCTTTACTGAGCAAATCAGTTTGAAAAAAAACGTAATTTTACTCTCCAGGACAAGATTTTCAGACTGAGTTCTCACCTTCAAAGTTGTTAATGAGGTCATTGTCACGTGATTACGTTCATTTTGTTTACTCTGATTACAGGTATAAGGTTTCTTTTTTTAAAATCAATGAGTAATTTGAAGTAGGAGATGTTACATGACGTCTCCAGGAAACCAGCAGCTGATAAAGACACGTCACCACAGACATCAGTGACGTTTCTGAGGAAGACTGAAGTGACAGTCGAAACATGTCAAAGGTTAAAACAGCTCCTACTTAAAAATACTCATTGTCTGATAAAAAGAAAAGAAGCCTTATACGGTTCATTTTCAAACGTCTAATATTAAAGTGACATTTATGCCTGTTGTTGATTGTGAGTTGGATCCTGATGGTTTTTTTTGTTGTGCTATGATGTCACAATTCTTCCAAACTAAAAGGAGGATGTGAGAAAAATTTTGTTGTGGTGATAATGTGAATAAAACACGAACTGATTCAGGGAATAAGGAACAGGATGAATGGTGGGAATGTGGAAACAATGACATCACCGTCAGACACCGTTAGTTTCCACCAGGAGGTTCATGTGTTGAGTTAAAAGAAATGAAAACACATCACAGCGATGTTCTTCTTTTACCTGCATCTTGACGCTGGTGACACAACCCTTCTCCCTCCAGTCCATGGTGTCCGGCACATCAGAGCCCGTCGCCCCTGCGAAGGGAGATGGCGCCCTCTGGATGTCAGTGGGAGGACTGAGTGTGGCGTAAAACTGCCGGATCTCCTCTGGAGCCTACGAGGAAGAAGGTGACGAGGATTAAAAAGAGCAGCGACT